AAAAAAAAAAAAAAAAAAAAAAAAAAAAAAAAAAAAGCATATTTTAATTGAAATTTTCCAATTTTTTTTAGATTTTTTTTTTTAAGTAAAAATATATCTATTAAATTATATATGTTATAAGTATACATTTCATTAAAATGCCTAGAACGTGTAAAAATGGGAAAGATTGTAGAAAATATAAATCATATGACAACGTGGAAGATAAAAACATTTCACTTATTCAACCAATTTTTTTAGTAGGTATAATATTTATGTTTTATTTTTTTTACTTCCGTATATTCAAAAGAAGGTATAATGTAAATAATGAAAATTATAGAAGAAAATTAAATAATAAAAATAAAAGTGGTAAGCCTGTTATTTCCCTCTGTTTAAATGATATAGTTTTAAAAATAAATGATGATAATGTATATATAATTGAAAATTCCCTAGAAGCATTTAATAAATTATGCTTAATATCAGAACTTTTTGTAATTGCGCAAATTTCTAATGATGTACAAGAAAAAAATATAATTGAATTATTTAAAAGTTTGAACATATTTAATAAAGGATTAAAAGAACATCGTCTTATGTTTTGTACAACATCAAATGGAAGAGCTTCAATGATAAGACAATTAAGTCCACTTACTCATGTTGATAACGATGAAACGGTTATTAAAACTTTAACGGGAAAAATACCAAATCTTGTTCAAATATATGGGAATTTAAATACCAATGATCATTCTAATTTTTTTACTTCTTTACAAGCATTTACTCAAGTTATAAGTGCTGTTGCAACCGTTGAAGGTATAAATTAACTTCACTTATATGTATATATTTCTATTAAATATAATTTGTGCAAAACTATTAATAAAAACATATAATATAATGAAAATTTTATATATATTTTAATTATTAATTCTTTCGATATGACTTAAATGCATATTACTTTATTAAATAAGAACTCATTTTTTTTTTTCTTACTTTTTCCTTTTATCATTTATGTAGAAATATACAAAAACTATAAATAATAATTTTTAACTTTTTTTTTTTTTTTAATTTGTCATTTCTACTATCATTTATGTTTTTGTATCTTTATTTTTGCTTTTATGAAAGACACAGTAAAAACAAAAACATTTATAAAAAAATAAAAAGGCAAATAACTAAGATAAGGAAGCATAATAAAAGTTTAATTTGCATATTTTATTTTATTTTTTTTTTTTTTTTTTTTTTTTTTTTTTTTTTTTTATACCATATCTTTATTATTTTATTTTCATTTTGTATTATATATTTCATTATTTTTTTTGTTTTTTTGTATTTTTTACTTTTTTAACACATCTTAATTTTTAACCTTCTAAATGCATTAAAGTATAATTTCTTTTATTATTTTTCCAATTATTAAATTTTATTAAATAATATTCCATTAATTTTAATACATAAAAAAATATATTATTTAATTGGTGTAAATCAAAATAATTCATTGTATCAATAGTTAAAATAAAGTACATTCTGTATATAAGTTAAAAGAAAACAAATATATACAGAAAAAAAGAAATGATTAAATCAATGTTTTTAACGGAATATTTAAGAAAATAAAGAAAAAAGAGTTATAATAAAAAATTACATATATGCCAAATTATAAATCAAAGCAATCTAATTTTTTTCATATAAAAAAGAAAAAAAAAATTATCTAACTTTATAATAAAAAAAAAAAAAGGTAAATTATATTTATATTAAATTATATAAAAAAAAGGTTTAAAAATTAAATATGGTTTTCTAAAACTAATATATAAAAACAAAAAAAAATTAATAAAAATAAAATAGACATCAACATATATTATATCTTCATTCTGTTTACTTAAGGTGTTAGGACAAAATATAGTTATGTATTTTCTAAATTTATACTTACTATTAAAATGATACAATTTTTCTACTTTTATTTTAATTTTTGTTGCTTCTTAAACTTATGATAATTGTTTTAGCACTTTTAAAAAATTAAATCCTTGTTCAATATATATATATATAGAAGTAAAAAACAAATAAAAAAAATATTTATATAATTTTGAGAATTTATATTTTAATTGTAATATGTGTTTTTATATAATGTTCTTTATTATCCAATAATACATAAGGATTCTTATATCTCGATTTATAATGATAAATAAAATTTTTTTTTTTATTTTTTCCAAAAAAAACTCATACTTCTGCAATCTTACATTGCACAACTATTGTACTTTTGTCTATAACTCACTTTTCTTCTAATAGTATTGTAAATGTTCTATTAAAAATGGCAATATGAAGCCTTTGTAATTTTTATATATTTTAATTTTTTATAAACACTGAAGAGAAATGATAAAATAATCTACTTATAAAATAATGTATTTACATGTATTTAAAACATTCCCTAAAACTTTAGAATGTTTATTCATTATATGAATTATTATATTTTTTAATTATATAAGAACTTTACTGGTTTAATACAGTTTTTTATTTTATAAAATTTAGGGTTAACATTTCTTATTATTATATCTTTTTATACATAATAAAAATATAGAATTAATAATAAAAAAAAAATATGTGAAATTGAAAGAATTATAATCTTTAATTTAAAAATCTATTAATGTCTTTTGTAATACAATAACAATTCTTTTCTGTATAAATTTTTTATTATGTTCCATTATTAGAAATTTTTTGTTATGTATTTATGAAAGTATTCTAATTATAAATTTTTTTTAATTTCCATCTTTTTTTTACTAGTAATTCTATTTACTGTATATTTTTTAGCGCAAAAAAAAAAAAAAAAAAAATTATAATTAATTTTAATATTCATAGAGAATGTCCAATATTTTTCTTTTTATTTTTTATCTAAAATTAATTTTTTATCAAAAAATTATTTATTTTTTGTCTATTGTGAATTTCAAATGTATATATATATATGACTTATTTATAATTTTAATTTTTTTCAACAATAATATTACTGTTAATTTTGAAAACTAATTGTTCTATAAGAATTTACTATAAAATATATCTATCCTTCATAAAAAAATCGTAGAAAAGAAACCAATTGTTTTTTTCAAAATTATGAATAATCTCACAAATATAAAATTGAAAAAGTGAAATATTTGTATTTTTATATAATTACATTTTATAATGTAAATATTTATTCGTTGAAAAATTAAATGTAAAAAGGATATATTATATCTTCTATTTGTATAATTATTTAATCTGATTTATTTTATTTTATTTTCCCTGTATATATTACAAATCAAATTTTGCTATAAGAATAAAATAATATTAATTAAATCTCTTTAATTAAAAATTTTCGTAATTTTTTACCATTATAACATAAATAATTTTTATTTTAATTAATATTTTTATTTTATTTTTTGGTAAGCTTTTTTTTAATTAAAATAAATTTTTTTCAAACATTTTTATTGCAAAATATGCAACATTAATGCTAATAAAATTATACTTATTTAAAAATGTACAATTTAAAAAAAAGTAGAAAAAGAAAAAAATGTAGTTACAAAAAAAAATTTTCAATAAACTATTTTTTTTATTCTTAAAAACTAATGAAACGCTAATTATACATTTAATAATCAGTATACACAAATTTTTTACTAAAAATAAAAAAAATAGATTTATTCTTGTTTGAAATATGATTTAATGAAAAATTTTTCATTTCATTCAAATTGCGTAGCTTATTTAAATAATTTAACATATATGTATAAAACAGAACGCTAAATATTTAAAATTGCAGAAATAATTAAGTCAACATATATTTTGTCATTTATCAGAGCTATATTCAGCATAATCTGAAAGGTTTGATCTCTGCATTTGTTCCTTAGCTAAAAAAAAAAAAAAGTAACAATTATTTATATAAATTTTTATATTGGTAATATATTTTTATATTTTAAAATAATATTACATATCATTGCTAATGTGTAAACTTTATCATAATCTCCTTCAAATTCATCAATTGTAGCTTCTTCAAATCTATCATAAAAAATTATATGTATAAATATATTTATGTAATCTTTATTGAAATTAATTATTTTAAAAAAAAATAAAAATGTAATATAATGAAAGAGAATTATTCCTTTTTTTCTTTTTTTTTCTAACGATTTTCCTATGATAATTTTTGAACCAATGGCAAATAGGAGTATCAGTGCTATTCCTGCTCCAGCAAAATAAGCCATTTCTATAAAAAAAGGTAACTTCATAAAAATATTTATAGTATACTGAAAAAATTAAAACATTTTGTGTTTATGCTATTTTTTTTTCTTTAATATTTTTTTTTTTTATTTTCTCTTCAATATCGAAGTTACATACTTGAAAATTCAGTTTTTTTAAAACATCTGTATGATGGATCAGAAAATTCTTTTTTAGTGCAGTCGTAATATTCATTTGAATTATGATCAAAGAATCTTAAGCAATAATCTGAAATTGAACAACACAAATGTTCTCTTTCTTCATTAGAACAAAAACCTGAAGAGATACTTTTCTTTATGAATTCACAATATTTTGATGAAATTTCATTATTACACTTGTTTTCTTTTGATAAACTTATTATTTCCTCTCTTGTTTTATTAATATCTCTTGACTTATAGTCTGAAACATTATATTTCACATAACTAACATCATTATTATTAGATAATTCCTTATCAGAACCTTGACTATCAAAATTTTCTTCTATTATTTTTTTTTCTTCCATCCCTAAAGAGAGAAAATAAAAATTCCATAATAAAACGTATCATTAAAAAATATATTATGTTAAACTTATATTTTTATTTAATATACACTTTTTATTGTACATTTATAAAAATAAATATATTATTAAACATATATAAAAAAATAATTATTATCAACTATTTACAATAAATTTGTTATATAAATATAAGTAATTGTATTTAAGAATTAAATTTAATATAGTAGTACGATAATATATGAAAACGTAGATATATCTTTTAAAATGTTAAAAATATGAATAAAAAAAAAAATGTACCTTCTGAATCAGTAAAATGTAAACGTGAATCATCTTTAGAATTTACTTCTACATTAGGCATAGAATTCATATTAAAATTCTGATTATCCATATTTGCTGATTTAATTGGTTTATAATTAAGTCGATCAGTATCTTCTTTTAGTTGAGAATCTAAATCTTGGGAATTATTATCTAAAATTAATCTAAAATCATATTTTTCCTTAATATTATCTTCTGGTGTTGGTTTTCCAGAAGCATAGTTATTTTCCATTTCTGAACGAATACTATACTCTGTATGTTTAGGTATAACCAAATTCTCATCTTCTACTTTTTTTGCTTCTTCCTCTTTTCTAGCTTCTTCAGCTTTACTAGCTTCTTCCTCTTTTCTTGCTTCTTCAGCTTTTCTAACTTCTTCCTCTTTTCTTGCTTCTTCCTCTTTTCTTGCTTCTTCCTCTTTTCTTGCTTCTTCCTCTTTTCTTGTTTCTTCCTCTTTTCTTGCTTCTTCCTCTTTTCTTGCTTCTTCCTCTTTTCTTGCTTCTTCAGCTTTTCTTGCTTCTTCCTCTTTTCTTGCTTCTTCCTCTTTTCTTGCTTCTTCCTCTTTTCTTGCTTCTTCAGCTTTTCTTGCTTCTTCCTCTTTTCTTGCTTCGTCCTCTTTTCTTGCTTCGTCCTCTTTTCTTGCTTCTTCAGCTTTTCTTGCTTCTTCCTCCTTTCTTTCTTCTTCAGCTTTTCTATCTTCTTCCTCTTTTCTTGCTTCTTCCTCTTTTCTTGCTTCTTCAGCTTTTCTAGCTTCTTCAGCTTTTCTAGTTTCTTCAGCTTTTCTAGCTTCTTCAGCTTTTCTAGCTTCTTCAGCTTTTCTAGCTTCTTCAGCTTTTCTAGCTTCTTCAGCTTTTCTAGCTTCTTCAGCTTTTCTAGCTTCTTCAGCTTTTCTAGCTTCTTCAGCTTTTCTAGCTTCTTCAGCTTTTCTAGTTTCTTCAGCTTTTCTAGCTTCTTCAGCTTTTCTAGCTTCTTCAGCTTTTCTAGCTTCTTCAGCTTTTCTAGCTTCTTCCTTCTTTCTCTCTTCTTCTTTTTTTGCTTCTTCAGCTTTTCTTTCTTCTTCAGCTTTTCTAGCTTCTTCCGCCTTTCTTTTTTCTTCAGCTTTTCTTGCTTCTTCAATTTTTCTTGCTTCTTCATCTTTTTTTGCTTTTTCAGCATTTTTTGCTTCTTCAGCTTTTCTAGCTTCTTCCTCTTTTCTTGCTTCTTCAGCTTTTCTTGCTTCTTCTGCCTTTTTTTTTTCTTCAGCTTTTCTTGCTTCTTCTGCCTTTATTTTTTCTTCAGCTTTTCTTGCTTCTTCAGCTTTTCTTGCTTCTTCGCTTTTCTTGCTTCTTCTGCCTTTCTTTTTTCTTCAGCTTTTCTTGCTTCTTCCGCCTTTTTTTTTTCTTCGGCTTTTCTTACTTCTTCTGCCTTTTTTTTTTCTTCAGCTTTTCTTTTTTCTTCGGCTTTTCTTGATTCTTCTGCCTTTCTTCTTTCTTCAGCTTTTCTTGCTTCTTCTGCCTTTATTTTTTCTTCAGCTTTTCTTGCTTCTTCAGCTTTTCTTGCTTCTTCAGCTTTTCTTGCTTCTTCAGCTTTTCTTGCTTCTTCTGCTTTTCTTGCTTCTTCTGCCTTTTTTTTTTCTTCAGCTTTTCTTGCTTCTTCTGCCTTTTTTTTTTCTTCAGCTTTTCTTGCTTCTTCTGCCCTTTTTCTTTCTTCGGCTTTTCTTGCTTCTTCTGCCTTTCTTTTTTCTTCAGCTTTTCTTGCTTCTTCCGCCTTTTTTTTTTCTTCGGCTTTTCTTGCTTCTTCTGCCTTTCTTTTTTCTTCAGCTTTTCTTGCTTCTTCCGCCTTTCTTTTTTCTTCAGCTTTTCTTGCTTCTTCCTCTTTTCTTGCTTCTTCAACTTTTCTTGCTTCTTCAGCTTTCTCAGCTTCTTCTTCCTTTGAAATTCGAGCTCCTATTTTTTCATAACTTAAAAGATTCTTAACTCCATTTTCTGCATTATATTTTGTTTGATTTAGTAAACCATTTTTTGTCTCGTTAATTAATAATTCTTCAACATTTGGTATATCAAGATTTTGTTCAAAATCAATTGCATTTGCTGTAAGTGGAGTAAAAGAAAAATGATTGTCTTTATGTATAACACATGTTGGTTTTACATTAATGTGATAACATCTTCCTTTAGCCATAGTAATATTTTCTTTATTAATGGGATTGTCTGAAACCCATATTCCCCAAAAGTTATATTTAACATCAGGGTATAGACTATCTGACGAAGATAAAAACAAATATTCTAAACATGAATAAAAATTTTCAATATTAACAATATATTTCTCCTTCATTAAGCTTTTACATTTCCCTGTATTTTTATCATATATTCCAAAAACTTTGGAATTTAGAGGGAACCTTGGAGGACATTTTTTTTCATAATCAGGTCTAATAAATGACGTTACAAATGTCCAATCTTTTAAACTTTTTGTTTTTCTAACAGTTTGACAATTAGGGACATTTGTATCCTCTTTATGTTTCTTACATTCATGAATTCTTTCTTGTTCATGTGTACCTAGTATAACACATTCCTTTGTAGAATGATTATATAAGGCAGGTAAATTACGAAAACACCTATTTTCATATGAATTTTCTAAGCAAGGTCCTACACAGTATGTATATATGGAACAATCAAACAAATTTTTTATTAACGATGGGTTTTTCATTGGTAAAGTTAAATTGTTTCCATCAACTTTTTCTCCATTTTTAATATGGGAACCTAATCTCCCACCTAAACCATAAAGGCCATAATGCTTAAATTTTTTTGATATTTTGTCATATTCCTTCATAATTACACGTTCAGAAAATACATGGGATTTACACATGTCATAATTGTAATCACTCTTATTTTTAAACAACTCCTCATCCACATTATTTTTTGGGCAAGAATCATCTACACCATGATGCATGGCAATCCCGCTGTTTTCATAAGAAAGTTCTACATTACTGTTAATCTTTTTGTTGAGATAACCTGTATGTATTTCATTTAAAAAATTTAAATCAGCAATCATACTATCTTTTGAATTTTCAATGGTATCAACCACAATAGTTTTACCATAATTAGGACAACTTCCTTGTGCCTTTCCTGGAGTAGTATGATTTGGACATATTTCTTTATTTTTATCAACTAAAAACGATTTATTAATACCAGCAGTATTATTTGATATTATTTCATATCTAAAATTACCTTCTCCGTATTTCCCTTGTTTTTTCCATTCGATGTAGATGTGATTACTTGGTATATCAAATTTTTCCATAAATTTTTCTTGAGGATTATCTTTTGATTTAGTATTTTTAAGTCTATTTGTTGGATCATTTAGTCGATCTTCTTGAGGGAAATTCATGTTATTATTTTGAGATTGAGATATACGATACCTTTGGTGGTGGTTTTTATGTTTATCTTGAAAATGTAGTAGGTAATTATTTTGAGACTGCGGTAGGTTAATTTGAGAGTTAGATATATGACCACTTTGAGCCTGAGTCATGTGAGTAGATTCCTTATTTTCTTGTTGGTTTCCAGAAGATGGAAGTATAACTGATTGATTTACTGGTTTATAATTTCTTCCTTTTTTCTTTGTTTTTGCATCATTTTCATCTATTATTCTTGTGTTTTCATCATTTTTTGTAATTATGTCCTTATTATTAATGGTTTCTTTATCCTTTTGTAACACATTTCTTTCTATATCTGGGTATGTTATATTTTGATTAGGATCAAAAGAATTTACTGTTAAGAAAGTAAAAGAGTAATGATTTTTTTTTTTTAATAAGCATGTTGGCATTTCATCAAAAAGGGAACATGTTCCAAAATCATTCATTGAATTTAGTTTTTCATTTGTGGAATCTAAAATCCAAACTCCCCATAAATATTGTTTCTTCCTTCTATCATCATATTCTGGAGAAGAATAGAATAATCGTTCAATACATTCTTTAAAGGAAGTTCTATAGTTTTCATGACGTTTTCTAGCACTTTCACACTCTCCAGTACTGTAGTTAAAATAACCAAATTCTGTATTATTTAATGGAAATCTCGGAGGACATTTTGTCTTATAGTCTGGACGTAAAAAGGAAGATGCATAAGTCCATTCTTTTCCTTGTTCTTGTTTCGTTGGTAAAAAACATCTTTCACGACTCCTTGAATTATTATGTAGACAATTGTTAACTCTGTATTGTTCGTGAGTTCCTAATATAACACATTCTTTTGTTTTATGATTAAAAATAACAGGTAAACTACGAAAGCATTTATTATCTAAATCTTTTTCAAGGCATGGACCTATGCAATGCGAATAAATGGAACAATCAGACAAAGTATTTATTATATGTGGATTTAACATTTTTTTAGTTACATAATTTTCTGTTGGATCATAATTGTGTAAGGGATATTCAATATTAGAACCTAATCGACCCCCTAGTCCATGAGAACTAAAATATAAAAAGTTATTCCTTAAATTTTTTGTTTTAACTTTTGTAGATAAAAGACGGTTATAGAAACTTTGAAAACACATATCATATTCTTTTTCCTCTTTTATAAGCAAACTATGATTTTTGTTATTAGGACAACGCACAAAAGAACCCTGGTACATTGCTAATCCACTCTTTGAAGGTGGGATTTCAATCTCTCGTTTTAATTTTTTATTCAAAATTCCAAAACTAATTTCATTTAAAAAATCTTCGTTATATGTATTTTTTTGGAAATCCATTAAAAAGGTTTTTCCATAATTGGGGCAACTCCCTCTATATACTCCTGGTTTTTCATGATATGGGCATGTACCTAATTTTTTTAATGTACCAATTCTAGAATATACATCATAGTCATCATCTAAAATTTACAAAAAAATATACAGAAAGTTTAAAAATGTAATAATATAAAGTAAATGAAAAGAAATAATATTCTCTAAAAATTAAATAAAAATAAAATATATATAAAAAAAAAAAAAAAAAAAAAAAAAAAAAAAAATAATAAAACATTTTATTTATAACTATACAATCTTGTATGGAAAAAAAAATATCTTTTTAGTAAAAATGTAATAATTAAGAAGCTAATTCAAGTTATATATATAAATTAGTACAATATTAAATGAAACATATATATATTTATTTAATTTTTTTAAGAGTATAATATTTGCATGCTAATTAAATAAGACACATAAAAATAATATAAATTTATGAAATTTTTTTTTAACCTATTTCATATTTGAAATTTCCTTCTCCATATTTACCATTATTTTCCCATCTTATATTTACATGATTCTTTTTTATATTAAATCTATCCATAAACTCCTCTTGAGGATTAATTATGGCCTTTACATTATTAAAATAAAAGTAGATTAAAAAAGCAAATTTATAATATATCCCCATTTTTTTTTGTGATTTTAAAAATATTATAAGTATTAAATTTTATTCAAGTATAAGATTCATAATTTATTTAGTTCTAAGAAATAGGGAAATACAATTACTTAATGTTCAATTTATGAATAATAAGTAATGATAAAATCTGAAATTTTACAACAGTAAAATATTCTAATTTTGTGATCATATAAAACTGAAATAAGTGTAACAAAAGAATTAATAAAAATAATAAAAAAAATTTCTATATTATAGTAACATATAGTATAGAAAAAAAAAATTATCCTTAAAATAATTAAGGAGCATCTAGAAATGAAAAAGGAAATCTAAGCAACGTAAAAATTAAGATATAAAAGAAATTCTTTTAATTATTTATAATCATATAAGAAATATTAAAGTAATATCCTTTATAATATTTATGTAAAATTCATTAAAAATTTTTAAGGTTAATGTAACCAAACAATATACTATATATATGTAATTTAATACATTATAGAAAAAAAGTTAAAATAAAACTATTTATATATCTTCTAAGTAAAATGAAAAAATATTTAAGAAGGATAAACAAAAGGAAAATAATAAATAAATTGCTATAACAAAATGTTTCTAACACTTGCAATTGCTCTTAATTGATTCCTAATTAAAAAACTTGAAAATATGTGTAAGACAAAATTTAAAATTTCAAGCTAACTGATATAGAGCAATATGTTATAAAACTTTTTTTTTTTTGAGTTTCTTTTTTTATTAAAAAAGATAACTAATGGAATTTTTAAATTTAATACTTTCTTTTGATATCACATGCAAAATTTTAAAATTTTTGAGTCTCAACTTTACATTTTTGGTAGCATGGCTTTTTGGATCTAATAATTTTCGTTTCTAAACTATTTATTTTTAAACATATTTCTTTAAAAAATGATTTCTGTTTTGTTAATATGAAAGGAAAAAAAAAAATGAGCATCTTTAAAAAATTAATCAAAAATATAACTTTTTATTCTTATTAAAATTTTTTCAGTTATATTAATGAATTATATAAATAAAAAAAAAAATTAGACATACTTTATTAAAAAATAAAATGTAAATTAAATTAAATTTTTTTTAATATTATTTTCATTTCACAATATAAATGGTATATTTGCAAAATATTATAAATGCAAATTTTTTATAAAAATAACAATTATAAAAGAAGACATAAAGCACTTATTTTTATATTTCTTCATAAAGTTTATATCAAAAGATACTTTCGCCTTTAATTTTTATGAAGTAATTCTAAGAATTGAAGAACACAACTCTTTTCTGATAAAAAAATAAAAAAGATTAAAATATTTTATATATTAGTATTTATTCTTTCGTATATATATATATATATATATATATATGTTATAATAAATTACCCCAACATAGTTTTGATTTTTCTCCATTTGTCATCAGTAGTGTCATTTATTGCACACAATTGCTGTAAAACTTTAATCGTTTTGTTTTTATCTAAATATTCTAAAGGTACAATTTCAACACCTACAACCTCTGCATTATTATTGTTGTTATTGTCATTACTTTTCTTATAAATAAATATTCCATCTGATATAAAAAACTGTTTTTTTTCTTTCTCATCAAATTCAACAGTTATTATTCCATTTCTTAATAATGTAACTAGAGGACTATGATTGTTTGTTATAGTAAAATATCCTTCAATTCCTAAAAAGAATAATATATAAAAAAAAATTATAATCATTTTTTTCTTAGTTTAACATTTTTCATAAACTAACCTGGGAAAGAAGCTCGTTTTATGATTTGACTTCTAAATATAGATTCACTTGATGAAGATAGAGATAAATATAAATTGCTATTTTTTGCTGTACTAAAAAAAATTCTCCTTGTTTTGTTCAACATTTTTCCTTTTAATTTCCCTTTTTTCTTTTCTTTTTTTTTCTTTTCTTTTGTTTTTTTCTTTTTCTTTTCTTTTCTTTTCTTTTGTTTTTTTTTTTTTTTTTTTTTTTTTTTTTTTTTTTTTTTTTTTTTTTTTTTTTTTTATTTCTCTTTTTTCTATATATTTATTTGCTACTTTTTATTTTAACAACATTTTAAAGTAAAAAATTAATATATATACATATGAAATATTCTTTAAATTAAAAATTCATTTTAAAATAAAATAAAAAAAACTAAAAACTATTTTTATATTATATAAAATCCTAATAATAATATATTGTTATAAACAAAAAAAAAGAAAAAATGTTTAACTTAATAAATATTTTTTTTTTTAATTCACATATTCTTACACAGGTATATAAACATATATATTCATGTTATTTTTAATTATTACTCCTATGGCCTTTTTTTTTTTTTTTCAAGAATTAAAAATGAATAAAATAAAAAATTCAAATGAAATTAGAGTATAATTTCTTATATTTTAGTTATAAAATATTTTTTTTTTTATGTATTAAAAGAGTGTATACTTTTTATGAATTCAAAATTTTTTAAAAATTATTATATGCACAATAATATTATGGAAAAAAAAAAGAATTACAAAATATTAAAATTAAGTTTTTTTTATAAATATTATATTTAAAAAAAAAAATTAATTAAAATAGTAAGAATAAAAAAAAAAAAAGTATATATGGAAACATTTTAAAATATAAAGAATACATAAAAACGAGTAAAAATCAACATAATGTTAAAAAAATTAAAAACGTTTTTGTAACCTTTTAAATAATTTATACATTTATATTATTTTCGTACATAATTATAAATTATTAAAGTTTGAATAAAATTAAATTATTTAAATAGGAAGTTAATATAAATTTTTAAAATGAGCTTTATTTTATATCGAAAAAAAAAAATTTGTATTTTTTTTTATTTTTATTTTTTCATTTAAATAGCTTAGTTTCTCTTAATGTTTATTATATATTAATTATTTTTAAATTTTTACATTTACATAGTTTTAAAAATATAATACATATTAAACATTTTAAAATATTTTTTTTAAAAAATTGAGTAATATTTTATTTTACTAAAAAAAGTTTTAATGTACAATTAAATTTTTAATACATGGAGAATTTAATTAAAATAATAAAAAAAGAAAAAACAAAATTTATAAAAAGAATATTTATGTTCAGCAATGAAAGTATACTACAAAAAAAGAAAAAGTAAAAATAGACGAAAATGTGATAAAAAAAAAAGTGTTGACAATATTAATGATGATAAAAATGTCAAAGATAAAAGTGAAAATGATGCAGAAATAAATAATAATGATGAAGGAAAAAACACAATTAAAAATTTATATCAAGAAAATTTAGGAAATAATAAATCTCAACAATTGAACACAGATAAAACTGAAAAGGAAAAACAAAATGAGTATTATATGTATGAAGAATTAAAAATTAATAAGGATATTAGAAACAATATATATTTTTATACATGGTTTTATTATTTTGAGAATATGATGTTAAAACTAGATAATTTTTTATGTTCACTTTTAAATTATTCATATTATTTACTTAATAAAGTTAATAATAATAAAAGAAATATATTGTTAACTAATTCTCATTTTAATGTAAAAATAAAAAATGTGGACTATAATAACTGTTCTTTAAATATTAATAATTGTTCATATAAAAATATAGAACAAATATTTATACATAAAAGGAATGTAATAAATAATAAAACAGAATCCAAAGAGCGTAACATTATTAAATTTTTACAAAAACAAAATATTAAAAGTATGATTTATATTAATGACTTTTTTGATCCAGATAATATGTCTATTTTATTTTTAGTTAATTCAACAGACGAAAATGAAAATAGTAATTATAGTCAACGAAATTATTCGGAAAAGGAATTTATTGATAAAAGAATTAATAAATCAGAATTCAATGAATATAATATATTAAAAGGGTATGATATTATTCTTTTGAGACATTCATTTGAAATTTTCTATTTTTACAAGGAAAAGAATGAGCATATAAATGATGATTTTATTCGTCAAGGTAGTACTGATAATATAGAAAATGAAAAGGATATTATTAAAAATGACACAAATGAAAATATGAAAACAGATAATCAAGCAAAAAAAGAAAGCAAAAATCAAGAAAAAATATTAGAAAAAAAAAAATTTCACACTATGCTTACATGGAAACGTTATTTAAAAGATACTTATATATTAAAAGAAAATGTTGCACTAGATGCTTTAAATATATGTTCTGGAATGGATGGATATATAGATGATAAAAATTTTAATTTTGATGTTTTATTAAATGATGAATATTCGTATTTAGTTCAATATAAAACAAAAATTTCTATTTGTAGATTAATATACGCTGTTACATCTTTATTAAAAAAGAAAATTAAGCCAATTGTATGCAAAAAAAAAAAAAAAAAAAAAAAAAATTTAAGTAGCATATCTATATTAAACTAAAAATTAATTTACTCATTTTTTTATAGATATTTTTTAATTTTATATAAACTAAATTTATGTTTTTATGTTATTACTAATATTTATATTTTATTTTTAACGTGAATATTTTATATTTTATTTTAATATAATGATATTCATTGATATATGAATGCATGTTTTTTTATTAAATTTAGATATATATTCCCCATTGGTGGTATCATGAAGTAGAAATTTGCAAAGATAATATTGTAGAATCACCAGAATTCCATTTTTATATTTTTAATGTAATATATATTATTTTTCATCATTTAATTTTAATTTTTCATATTTAATTTTATATAGTATTTTTTTTGTTAAAATTATGGATAAAATTTTTTCTGTAGGAATTAAAAAAAGACGGATTATTAAAAGTAGGTTATAAACAAATAAATTCATTAATATTTACAATGAATGATAAAGGTAACTATATAAAAACAAATTTATTATTTTTTTTTTTTTTTGTTATTTTACAAATATTTTGTATTTTTTTATTATTAATTCTTTTTACTTTTTTTTTTTTTTTCATTAGATTTTGATTTTTTTATCAATTTAGCAATAAAAAATGATGCCATACTTTGTACAAACAATAATGATATTATTAAATATTATTTTAATGTAAATATAAAAACAAAAGAACAAATTATTTATTTTAAATTTTATATATATATATATATGTATTTTTTTTTTCAATTATATAGATTAATGAAAATGCCAAAGTTTCGAAATTTATTTCAAAAGGAACTTTTTTTGTACTTACCAACTTTCTTTGATACAAAAAATTTTTAATTTTTATTCTTATTTTTATTACAAAGAATAGTTAATTATATTATTGTTTGTTAAAAATAATTAAAAAAATATATATTTTTAGGTTTATACTAGGATATTATATAATGAAGAATAAATTAATATCCATTTTTGTATTTTTTGTAAATTTATTACAAACAATTTTTTTATTTTCTTTTTTTTAATAAGAATCATTTTTGTGTTTTAATAATTAATATGTTTTATTCTTTTTATCATTATCTTTTCTTTCTTTTTTTTTTTTTATCAATATATATATTTAAATATATTCTTGAGAAAAGTTTGTTTTTTATTTTTATTTTTTTTTTTTTTAAATTCATTGGCATAATAACATAATATGTTTTAAAATTTCCCAATTTTTATTAAAATTAAGAATAAATGTAAAATAGAAACTTCAAAAATGTATTGTTTGTTAAAATAAAAAAAAAAAAAGTAAATAATATTCCAAATTCTATAGATAAATCACCTATAAACTTTTTTTATTTTAAATTTTTTTTTTTTTTTTTTTTACGAAAAGTTGAAATTGAAAAACGAATTTTTCTATTTTTTTAAGATTAAGCAAAAAAAAAAAAAAAATATAAAAAAAGTAAGACAAAAGCTACATATATTAGAATTAATATATAAGGGAAGAAAAATATTTTAACATAGAGAAAAAAATTATAAAATGCCTAAAGGAATTATATAAAAATATAACTGAATAAAATAAAAAAAAAACATACATATTTTAATATTATGTCTTGAAAAATAAGAAAAAACACGTTTCATAACAAACTTTATAGCACAAAAAAAAAGAAAAAATTTTTCAGTTTATTTAATTCTGAAAATATAATATTTTAAAAATGGATAATAATGAAACATATATATTGAGATATAATAAAAATAAAATTTTAATAAAACTATTATATGAGTTAATTAAATATGAAAAAAAAAAGGATGGGTTTAAGGTAGATTTTGAAAATGATAAATATTATAAATATATAGAAAGTATTGTTAAGTTATTATTTAATTACATATTTAATTTAAATGATGAAAAATCATACTATTCTACTGATTACAATTTCAATAAAAATGATTGTTCAAGTTCTTCAGATAATTTAAGTGAAAATTTTAATTCAAGTGATGATGGATTATCTGAATTTTTTAATTTTAATAAAATTGATGTAAATAAAGAAAATGAAAATTCCCATAATGTTGTTAAAGACATACATAAGCTTGAATGTATAGATAAAAATAAAGATAATATAAAAATAAGTTATAATGGTGAAAAAGAAAATCTTAATGTAAATAACTTGAATCATGTTAGTATGAAAAATGTGAACACTAACATAGGTGATGATGAATTATTTGAAAATGAAAAGTGCAAAGGAAAAAGAAATGAAGAGAAAAATTTGTATAGAAAAAATAATCTCTCGGATTTTTTTTTTAATTTTCATTTAAATTGCAATAGAAAAGCAGAAACAATAAGAGAAAAAAAAAAAATAGAAAAACAAATACTGAGTATTTATTACACATCATTTTCTTCTAACATTATTGATATACTTTTAAATAATTCTGAAATTGAAATTTCCGATATAATTTTATTTTTTATTTTTGAAAATGTTGGAAATATTCATGATATTAGTTCCTTTTTTTCAAAAGGATTTTACACATTCAAGGAAATATATTTGTATATTGAAGAATATAAACCAAATAAAATAATAAGTGAAAAAAACTACAATGGTAGAGACCATTTTTTATATACTAAAAATTATAATATAAATAAAAATGAAAATATGGACAATAATTATTATGCTAATAATTTATATTTAATCAAAAAAGAGGAAAATAGAAAAGTTAAAGAAGAAATTCATTCAAATAACAAAAAAGAACTTATAAATGAAAAATCATATCCAAGTGATGAAAAATTTAAAAATGAAAATGCTTTTTTGAATACCTACAATGAAAACATATATAAAGAATCTTATGTAAACAACATATGTCAAGAAAATAAAGATATTATATACCTAAATGAGATATTAAAAAAAGAAAGTATAGATGAAGATGATATTTATTATAATGAAAAAAATTTTGCTTCTCAATTTGAAAACTTCATGATAAAAGATAATATGCTATTTGTACAGAATTTTAAATTTAATTTAAATAAGTCTTCCGTTTTACTAGGTAAGTTCATGAGTTTATTAAATCTACAATTGGAAAAACAAAAACATTTCAAATTTTGTCTCGATATATTTTTTTTAAAAAATTTAAAGTTAAATTCTTTAGAAGCATCCAAACCTTGGATTTTTTATTGGTGCATTCACACCATTTATATATTATATAATGATTTTGAAATTGAGCAAAAATTAAGCAAAGAGACATTTAGTTACATAAAAAAGTGTGTGTTCCTTTATTTAAATAAAATGAAAAATGATAAAGACTGTTTTGGTGGTGGCTTAAACCAATACACTCATATTGCAACTACATATGCTACTGTATGTGTTTTTATATATTTGCATGATGACGAAAATAATTTTTTAAGTTTTCTTGATAAAAAAAAAATACATTCATATATATTGAAATTGAAGTGTGCAGATGGTTCTTTTAGGTTACACAAAAATGGAGAAATAGACATGAGAGGAACCTATTGTGCAATATCAATTTGTTCAATGTGTCATATATTGACAAAAAAAGTAAAAAAAAACGTTGAGAGATACATTTTATCTTGTCAAAATTATGAAGGAGGATTTACAAGTGAAAAGTATCAAGAATGTCATGGTGGCTATACTTATTGTGCTCTAGCTACTTTATGTATTTTAGGAAAAATTAAAAAAATAAATTTAAGTAATTTAATGTTTTGGTTAGCTAATAAACAAAGTAACTTAGAAGGCTCATTTATGGGGAGAACAAATAAGTTAGTTGACTCTTGTTACTCCTTTTGGGTCGGATCTATTTTTTTCTTAATTAATGAGATATATATATTAAAACAAATACTATACCTAAATGAACTAAAAAAAAAATGTGGTCATAATAATTGTAAAATGTTTTCCTATAATAGCTCTAATGAGTTAAATAACTTGGAAAATAATGATTTGAAAAAAAAAAATATAAATTTTCTGAAGGAAGAAAATTCGATTACAAATTTAACAAAAAGTGATCATTTAAATGGTAATTATAATAATATAAGCAATATAAATCAGTCTTTTAATAAAAATGAATGTGAGTTATGTGTAAAAGAAGGAAATATAATTATTGATTCTACAAATAATAAATTGAATGAAAATATTTATATATGCAGTCAAAATAATTTACTGAGTTCTCAAATCCATAAAGATGAATTTCCTATTGAATACTATAAAAATATAAATAAAGTTGAAGAAAAAATATTGTTTAATATGAATCATGCAAAGCTTTATTTACTTTTATGCTCTCAAAGTAACAAAGGAGGAATGAAAGATAAACCAAAAGAAAAAGTCGATTATTACCACACTTGTTATGCTCTAAGTGGGTTGTCATTAATAGAGAATTATATATCATCACATATACATGACATGCAAGATATATATGATAAAGATAATATAAGTAAGCTAAATAAAATACATATTTTATATAATATCACTGTTCAAAAAGTTTATAAAAGCTACAATTATTTTTCCCCTAATATTCCTTTAAGCGAAAATAAAATAAACCATAAAATTGGTAAAGGGGCATATTTATATTTAAAAAGGCTTGTATTGTAATATACTTTTTTTTTTTTTTTTTTTATGTAAAAATAATAAATATTTTAATTTCCTTAATATTCGTGAAAATGATAGAAGCATTAATAAAAATACATAAGTTAAAGAAGCTATATATGTATGAATAAAAATATAATATTATGGAAGATTATAATTATATATTTTTTTTTTTTTTACTTTTTTTTAATTTTTAAATTGTAATAATGTATAATTTTCGAAATTAATTTACCATGAACTATTTTTATATTTATACTAAACAAAAAGTTGAATTAAATATGTTTTCGCATAAAAAAAAAAAACTAAAATAATTTTAAATAAATATTGTTATAATAGAATTATTTTTTTTTTGTAGTAAAATTTTTATGTTCAAAATTATTTAAACATGGTGCCTTTTTTCACTGATTAAAATTATCACAAAAAATCATGTATATAGAAAAGTTACAGAAATATTTATTAAAAAAAAATTTTTTGTAAAAAAAAAAAAAATGTTTTTTAATAAGCATATAATCCATATGAAAAGTTTTTTCTTTCTATAATTTTATCTTTTTTATTGCTTTTATTTTATTTTATTTTATTTTTTCTTACTTTATGTATATTTTTTTTTTTTTTTTTTTTTTTTTGTACATTTTTATAAATAAAATATTTCTTTATATTTTTTTGAATTTTCTTCAAAATTTTTAATTTTTTTAAAAGATAATTTTTTCTATATTTAATATAAAAAAATTAACCAAATTTTCTTATCCCTAAATATATTAATAATGTTAGAAAAGAAGAGTGAATTTTTATCTAAGTGCTTTAATATATTTAAAAGAAATTTTACGCCAAACATAAGCTTAACAAGGTATGTCTTTATTTGTAGTAGTCATATATAATTTAACTTGATATTTTTTATATTATATATAATATATATAGATTATTTTATTATTATTTTTTCTTTTTTCCTTTAAATTAAATGTATTAACAAACTAATTATTTTGTATATATATATATATATGTGTAATAATATATAGGAAGTTATTTATAATTCACTAAATTTTTATATTAAAAAATATTAAAAATATTTTCTTATAAAAAATTTTTTTTTTAAGATGTGATGCACCGAAAATGTGGAGAGTTGCAATGGGTGGAGTTGATCCTGCAACACCTCAAGCTGAATCTTTTATTAATTTTCACAATCATACAGTAACTTATATGGTTTTTATTATGTTCACTGTTCTTTTGTCATTAAAAAGATAAATATGTGAAGAAAAATTTTAAAATAACAAAATGGAGACTAAAATTTAAATAAATATGACTTCTTTTTTTTTTTTTTTATTTTTTTATAATGTTGAATTCTCAATTAGTTTTCTTAGTTTTTATATTTCTATTTTTATTATCTTTTTTTTTATGTAATAAAATAAAAACTTTTTTATATTTAACACAAAATGAAACTTGTGAATAAAAACATAACCATGTTACAATAGTTAATGAGCATTAAAATAAACTTTCAAAGTTAAAATGTAAATATGTAAAAAAAATGACTATCCATAAATTTGTGTAAGGTTAGATATTGCATATATATATATATTTCATATTCTTGAAATCATATATTTTATGGGAATAAAAATTAAAAAAAACAAGAAAAAAGAAATTAAATCATTAAAGGATTAAAAAAAAAAGTAAAAAATATACACAAAAATAATTATCTAATTTTAGGTTAAAAAAATATATATATTTAATATAATTTAATAGAAATAAAAAAATATATTTTTTTTAATATAAAAAAAAAAAAAAAAAAACAAAACATATTAGCTATAGAATTAAAAAAAAAAAAAATTTTTAATATATAAAAAAAGACTTTTTTTAAATAAAAGTTTTATTGATAAACATTATTCACAAATTTATTTACGTTATTTTCTCTGCTATTATATATATCATCCTTTTTATAGATTACAGTTGCCTGTTCATCATAATCAATAACTACAGGCTCATAAAAAGATAGTATTTTATACTTAAGATTTTTATAAACTATAATTTTATTTTTTAAGTTGTCATAGTAGAATTTTGAATATAAATTATAATTGTTAATAATATCTGAAATATCTTTCTCATATTCCTCTTTACTTTTATCTGAAGCTTTCTTACTCTTATGTCCAGTTTTTTGTGTATCTTTCTTTTTTTTTTTATTTGTATTATTCTTTGAAATTTTTTTTGTTATATTCTCATTTTTTTCAACATTTTTACTTATTGATTCTATTGAATTTGATTCGCTTTCTTTTGTATTTACATTTGTATTATTTTCTTTTAAAGAATTATCAACATCACTGTAATATTTATTTTCCTTAGATTCATTGTATAATTTATCACTCAATTTGCTATTCGAATTTTCGCAATTCATGTCATTTTTATTTAATGCCATATTTCCTAGATATTTTTTTTCAATATTGTCTTCTAAGATATTATTTGAATTCTCTTTATTATTTATTGAGTTAGAATATAATATATTGTTACTATTAGATTTATTATCACACATATTTTTATCAGCGTTAATATCTTCCAAATGGGAAATATTCTGAGAACAACTATCATTATCTTTGGATTTAATTTGATCTTCAAACGTATTTGATTTCTTTTTAGAGTAATCATGTTTCTTTATCTTAATAGAATTATCTAATTTATTATTCGCGTCATTTGTTTTAAATTCTTCGTTTGTATGAGAGTCTTCATTGTCACCTTTATTTACATCTGATATCAAAAATTTGGTATGAAAATCTTTTTGATCCAATAATAATATTGTTTCGTCATCTAAATAAACATAATTATTTTCATTAGATGAATAATTTGATTCGCTGCATTTTTTATCAAGGCCTGAATTCATATCATCAGTATCAAAAGGAGAATCTTCGTATTTTTCTTTAATTAATCGTAAAATATAACCATAAAAAGTGTAAGATGGTCGCGAAACTAAAACAGTTTTTCTATCAATAATATTTTCATTATAATTTAATAAGTTTGTATATGTTTTATTAATGATTAAATCATCTTTTTCAACCTTTATTTCATCTTTTAATAAAACAATATTAGTATACCAGCTATCACAAGTTCCATATTTTGTACCAAAATGTTCCCCCTTTCTAATTTCTACATCAATTGTTATTAAAAAACCACAAAATGGAGCATTTTTTTGAATATGGAATATATTACTTCTTTTTTGTAATACTTGATTTTTTAAATTCTGCTCTAAATATAGATATTCTAAAACACCAAAATCATTATCTTCATTGTTTTCTTTTTCATTTAATGTTAAATTTGACCAATCTAATATAACTGATTGTAACAGTTTATTTTGAGGACTTATAATTGTTCTTTCTGGGTAGTTTTCACTTTTATATATAATATTATCAGAATAGGGGAATTTAACAGGGCAATAATATGTAGTAACACTATATGGAATACTTTTAATATTCATATTGTAAAATTCTTCAGAATTATATAAATCTTCATTTGCAGAAAATTCACTATATGATAATTTTTTTTCTTTCTTTATAATATCTTCATTTTTTAATTTTTTTTTTTCACTCATATCATTTTTATTTTCTTCTTTACTTTTTGTTTTCATAGCATATTCTATACTATCTTTATTAACATTCCAATTATATAAATATTCTTGATATTTTCTATAGGAAAATATTTTTTTATGTAGATCTAAATATATATCAGCTACCCCTTCTTGTGAAGCAAAATCACCTATTACTTCACTTATTATTAAATCATAATTAAAATTATTACAAAAATTTTCATTCGAGGAATTATCAAAAAAATTATATAATGAATTTTTTTTTTTTAATCTTCTTTGCTGCTCTTCTTCTTTATATTCATAAACTTTGGAATAACAGTTTATAATCTTAATATAATCTTCTAAATTATATCCCTCTATTAATTTTTTTGCCATATCAGAAGCATCTTTATTAACTTCTAAAGCATCTACATGTTTAGCCCCATTTAAAATGGCATTAATAGACAATAAAGACAATGGACCAGTTCCTATTTCTATTATATTTTTATTATACACATAACAACCTTTATTGTTTTCAAAAAATATATTTGGTTTATCTATTTTGTTAAATTCACTGGACTTATTTAAATTATAGCCTTCATTGTTATTTACGTTTATTGTATTACTCATACTATATATACTTTCTGTATTACATATGCTGTTTGTATTTTCACCATTAATTGTGTTACTCAAGTTTAATGTGTTACTCATATTATTTATATAATCTGTAGTAATTAAATTATTTTCATTATTAATAAAATTATTATTGGTATTGCAAGAATCTTTATGCCCTGTCCATCTCATTGCTGCTCTATAATAATGCAATCTATTAAAATCATTTAACATCGTTAAGTGATTATATAAGCTAAATTGGTTACATATGGACAAAGTATTTGGTTTTTTCCCATACTTATATTCTGTTTTTGTAGCAATTTTGTTATTTATAAAATAATTTATTTTTTCTTGTAAAGTTATATTATCACCCCATGATTTAATTCTTTTTTCACATTCTTTGTTTATAATTTTTTTTGTTAAATTTGTTTGCAAGCTTTTTAGAAGTCTTGTATATTTCTTTTTTGTATTTTCACCTTTATTTTTATTGGATACTTGATTTATTTTATTATCTTCGGAAAATTCATTCAATTTACTTTCCTCGTTTTTATATAAATCATTCTTTCTTGTCATTTCTTCATATTTTTTCTTATATGCTGTTTGACATTCATATCCGTTATCATTTTTTTGTTTTGTTTTATTAATACATTCTTTACTAATCATTTCATCAGTGTCACTATTGTTATATTTTTTATCTTTTATTTTATCTTCATCTTCAAAATTAGTACCATCACACTTTTTTTTCTCATGAATAATCTCTTCATTTATGCTACTACTATCTTTTTTTTCTTTAATAACATCTTCATCTAAAAAATTATTTATTTTTTTTTTTTTTACATGTATATTTTCCTCACTAAAATTATTTATTTTTTTCTTTCTATTGATTTTTTCAGGATGTAATGTGTCACGCTTATTTTTATTCTTGTTATCTAAAGAAGATTCATTTTTATTACTACTTTCTTTTTTATACTGTTTTTCTTCATTACAAGAAATTCTTTCAGTATAATCCTTTTTTTCATCTAATATTTTATCATTTATTCTATAATTTCTTTCTTCACATTTTTCATCATACATTTTTTTATTATTTGTGTTTCTTAATTCCTTTTTTTCTAATATTTTTTCTTTTAAATTTATTTCATTGTGGATATTTTTATTAAGTTCTATTTTTGTATTACATTCCACATCTTTCACTTCTGCTTTTTCATTACTATTATTATCTTTTGATATTCCGACTTTGTTAAACAATATGGTATCATCAGTTTCATATTTATTTAATAAATTATTTTCCAAAATTTCATCTACGTTTTTTAATTTTGTATAATCATTATTTAATTCAAAGTTATTATCTATTTCATCGGTATTTAATGAATCACTATTTTTCTTATGTTCAATATGTTTTATCATTACATTTTGTTTATTACTAATTTCTAAAATATTTTTCCCTTTTTTACTATTTATTACTTCTTTCATGAGTAACTTTTCCTTCTCTTTCTTAAAACTGTTAAGGTTATTCTTTTCTTTTCTTGTGTTACTTTCTTTATTTGTTATGTCACATTTTTTTAATTCATCATAATTTGTAGTATCATTTTTCTCTTTTTTTTCTTTTCCTATCTTATGTGAAATATCACCTTTATTTAAAATATCTTTATCTAAATTTTGATCTGATAAATATTTTTCCTTATTTGCTCTATTATCTCTTTTAACTATAATTTTATCATTATTATCTTTACCTTCTTTCAAGATTTTACTTTCTGTTAGATTACCATTTTCTTTTTCCTCATTACTTATAAGAATTTCTTTTTTATTTTCTAATTTTATCTTATTATTCTCACTTAAATTCAATGTATTTTTCTTTTTCTTAGTTTTAAATATTTTATCTTTTTCTATATTTATATTATTTATTATTTTATCCATACTATTATCATTAGCACCTCTAATGTTAACTTTATTTATATTTTTACTGTCAACTGTATCTATATTATTTACAAATTCTCTATCTTTTTCTTGAAACAATTTTTCATTCAATCCTTTTTTTTCATCTACATCATCGTTTTCTTTTTCCATTGATATATTATACGATTCTTTTAACATTGCTTTAATATACTTTTTATTATTTATTTATTTTATCTATTTATTTATTTGTTTTTTTTTTTATTTAAAGTATTTAGTGAATAAATGATATTTTTTAATGAATATATTTATTTAGATAATTAATATAAATATATAGACTTCATAAGATTAAAAATTAATAAAAAAAAAAAAAAATAAAAGAAAAATAATTTTATTAATCAGATAAAAATAAAATTTGTACATTTATCTTTCTTATCATCTTTTCTTCATAGAACATAATATATTAGAATATAAAAAATTTTAAAATATATATAAAGAATATAAATCCTTTTAAAATACATATATATTAGTTTAAAAACTGGCAGTTACTCAAAAATATATTTTTATTCTAAAAAAAAAAAAAAGAAGATTTCTTATGAATATATATATTTAAATGATAAAACATTTTAAAGATTAACTTTAATGTACAAAACATTACTAAAGTAAAATTACTTTTTATCTATAAAGCTTAAAATTTCATTTATGGATAATTATGAATATAATTTAACTTTTGTATCTTTTGCAAAAAAAAAAAAATTTTATAAAATAAAAAATTATTATATAATATATTTATTCTTTAAAACTTCTTAAAATTTAGATATACGTAAACTTTAAAATGTTAAAAATGTATAATACATTTTATTCCTTTCTTTTTTTTTTTTTTTTTTTCAAAGAATATAAGAATGTAAAATAGATTTTACTTTTAATCTAATTTATTAACTCTTTTTAAAGCAATTTTTTATAATATATATTTATTAACCCTTTTTTTTTTTTTAATTTTTTTATTTCAAAAAAAGAGTTTATGATTATTTAAGATGTTCCTTTTATATAAATACTCGGATTTTTACTAAAAACAACTTTTTATTGTATCATTTACAAAATAAAAATTATAGAATAAAAATTGCTCAAGCAATTATAAAAAAATTACATCATGTAACAAATAATTAAAAAAACTTTGTTTGGAAATTAAATAATCCATAATATTTTTCAATTAGGTTAAAACATATTTAACGAAGATTTATTAAATCATAATATATATATAAATATAATAAAACATATGATAAAACAAAAAAATTGTAAAAAATTTCATTAATATGGATTTTAGATATAATGAAAAAAAAAAAAATTCATATTTTTTTAAAAAAAAAAAAAATATATACATTGATATATATACTTAAAAATTATAAAAAAAATAAATATAAAAAGGAAAAAAAATAAAAATAAAAAAAATAAAAAAACAAAAAAAAAAAAAAAAAAAAAAACCAAAAAAATAAGATGAAAGCGAAAATGTAAAAGAAGACGAAAGTGAAAATGTAAAAGAATACGAAAACGAAAATATAAAAGAAGAAGCCGAAGGCAAAGACGAAAACGAAAACAAAAACGAAAATAAAAACGAAAACAAAAACGAAAATAAAAACGAAAACAAAAACGAAAACAAAAACGAAAACATAAACGTAAACATAAACGTAAACATAAACATAAACAAAAAATAAAATAGATTTAATAAAAAAAATAAAATGAAAAAATTGAACTGAAAAGAAAAGAAAAAAAAAAATATATTGATACAAAAATGTAGAAGAGAAAATAGAGAGATAAAAAAAAAAAAAAAATGAAAAACATGAAGAATACATTAATAAAAAAACAAAAAAATAAAAATGAAAACAAAAACGAAAACAAAAAAAAAAAAAAAAAAAAAACAAATAACAATTAACAAAAAATTGTACGGACAAAATATAAAAAACAAAAATTAAAGATCCAATGACAAAAATTTATATGATTTCACTTAAAAATTATCTATTAACATTAAAGTGCAAAAAACAAAAAAAAAAAAAAAAAGCATTGTCTTAAAATGCTAATTAATTACATTTCCTATATATATATATAAATTATAATTATATAACTATGAGTAATATGATATTCCATATTTATTAAAAATGAACGTTAGAAATGTTTCTAAGCAAACATTTTTAACATTAGGATTGACACTAATTTGAATATATTCATATAGATTGTAAATATTATTACAAATATTTTTATGCCATAAATAATTATCTTTTTTTTTTTCTTCATGTTTGTTAGTTGAACTTTTGAATTCAATTTTTCTGATCTCTTCTGAATTAAAACGAGCACCTAGTTGATCTCTTTTTTTTTCTTGAGTTTCTTTTACATCTTTTTTTAATTTATTCATATTACATTTATTTTCTTTTTTCCCTTTATTGTCATTATCTTGATCTTTCTCTATTTTTTTTATATTTCTTGAATTTTTTTTTAAATTATTCATTCCTTTATCATTAGATATGGTTGCAAATATGTTATTTTCTTGATTATTTAGTTCTTCAAAAATTATGCTGTTATATGGATATATTGAATTATAAATGCTTAAGTAATTGATATATGGAAATATTAATAATGCTAATTGCTGCATTAATAAAAAAAAGTCAATAAGTGTTAACCCTTGATTTTTGTTAATATATTTACTAAAGGATACTTGTCTTGTAAATAAGTATTCTAAATCATACACATTCATTTTTTTTTTCCTTTTATAATTCACTTTATTTATTCCTATAGAATTAAAATTAACTAAATTATTAGTTGACCCAAAAGAAAAAGGACAAAATACCGTTGAGTAATATGAGCTATTATTGCCTATATCTTTATTTAATATATGATTATTTTTATTATTCTCGTTTATGTTTTCATTATTATTTGTTGAATCAACTTTTTTTAAAGGCTTTCTTTGAAAAATATATGACTTTCTCTCTTCTTTTTTTTTTTTTTTGTCATTATAGTTATGTTCATCAGAAATATTTGATGAGTCGTTATTATTTAAAAAATTAAAGTTATTTGAACAATTTACATCAGGTATTATATTTTTTTCTTTTTCATTTTCTTTTTTGTAATGATTTTTATTTTTAAAAACTTCTTTAATAATATGATGCATATGATTTTCATGAGAATTTTTATTTATTTCATAAAATTTATTGTAAATATTTGTAGGTACTTCAATATTTTCAATTATTTTATTTATTTTTATATCTTTACACATGCATAAAAAAGTGTTTTTATCTATATAATACTCAAATTTATTATTTTTTTTTTTTAAATTATTATCATATTTTTTTAATATAAAATCAAACAAAAAGTAACAGATATTATATATTTTCATTTCATCATAAAAATTCCTTGTTTCTTTTTTTAAATTTATGTACACATTTTTTTCTAATACATTATTTTTTAACGGATGTAAAATATCTTTTCTAATTTTCGTATATGTCTTTTTTAAATCAAATGTAACATTTTTATTGTATAAATCATTTAAATTTTCTATATCTTTATTAATATATCTAATTCCAAGAACATTTAAGCAGTTCATATATTTATATAAATTACTTCTTATCATAATTAAGTTTTCAATTTTTTTTTTATAAAGGTTATCACTAATATTTCTATAAATTGATTTATATGTTTCTACATCATTATTTAAAAATTTATCAAACTGAATATCTTCTTGATTTCCTATTTGAACATATGTCTCTTTATTTAAAATATTTGATTCTATTAATAGATCTTTATTTTTAAGAGAGTTGTTATATGTATTTGATTCAGAATTAGTTATTTCATTATTATCTATATTATTTGGGCAAATGCCCATATTAAGAAAATTTAATGATATATTTTTGTCATTATCATCTATCGAATTATCATAAATATCATCAAAACAATTTACAAAATTACTTCTCACAAATTTCATATTGCTATTACAGCTTTCATCGGAATAATCACTATTATTATAATTTTTCCTAAAATTTTTTTTTCTTGAATTATTATTAACTATACTTTTATGAAATTTTTCACTATTTCCCAAACAATTTTTTTTTTTTTCTTTACTAGTATTATTAAATTTTAGTGTATCTTTATCTACTATTATTTCTTCCTTTTCTATAACTTCTCCGTTTTTTTCTTGTTTTTGTTCATCTATTTCCTTTTTATTTTTCAAAAAATTTAATTGATCATTTAAAAAAATATCACATTTTTTGTTCTTCAAAACAACATTTTTTTCATAAGTATCGTTATTTGTATTACATGATTCGTGAAAAATATGTTCGTCAATTTTATTTTTATCAGTATCAATATTACTGGATGAACTGAAACTATCAATATCAATATCATTTTCATCAACACAGGTATCAATGTTACTCATATTTTCCTTTTTTAAAAGCAAACTTTTTTTATTGTTTTTTTTTTTTTTTATCAAATTGTTAATTCCAATGTTACTACCCTGACTTTTAGTTAAAGAATTGTTCCCACAAATATTTATTTCATTACGACCACTTTTATGAACCATAGATGAAAAACTTTTTTTTATATTATTTACACAGATTTTATTTTTATTTAAGTCTTTATTTAAAATGTAAGAATTTGTTTTATTTATTTTATTACAATCTACAACAGAATAAGAATTTCTTTTTTTCATAAAAATATTTTCATCTTCAGGATATTTTTTATTTTCAACAAAAATTTTCGATTGTATATTATTTAAAGTGAATGAACAATTTATAGGTTTATCTTGTAAAACTATTTTTGACGATTTTATTTTATTATCACTTTTAATATTTTGTTTCTCAGATTTCTCATTTTTGTTATTAATACATATACTATTTTTGTTTTTTTTTTTTAAATATTTTTTATAAATTTTTTTATAAACTATTAAAAACATTTCACTTATTACTGGCTCTTTTACATACCTATCGAACATACTTTCTAATTGTATTTCAAAATAAGTATAATTTGGATCTAAATAATCTATTCTTAATGAAGGATTAGAATTAACTTCTAATAGCCATGCTTTTCCTGTATTATCTAACAATATATCTAAACCAATCAATTGATAAAAATAAAAGTTATTTTTAAAATTATATTTGATTTTAGATTTTATATAGGAATATATTGCTAAAGATGTTAAACAGCTTATTTTTTTTATCTGTTTCCAAATATCGTCTATATCATAACCATTATTTTTTAAATAAATAAAAACATCACTTAACAATTGTTTATTGTTATTTTTATCGTGTATATTTTTTTTTCTTATATATTTTTCATTATCCTTATTAATACTATAATTAGTTAAGTGAACAAAAGAATTACAAATATATCTTTTCTTTTTTTTATATTCTTCAGTGCATAATCTTGCAAAACCAATTTTAGATAAATAAATTTTTGGATAATTTTTTCCTGGTAAAAGTAAAATGTAAATACGAAAATCAAATTTCTTTTTATACATTAATAAAGGATTATCAATATATTTTTGTATTATGTAACAATTATATCCATTTAATATATTGACATTAATATCATTATATTTATGAATTAACTTTACACCAATTCCCATACTACCATTATCTGGCTTCATTATATAAAAATCTTTATTATTATTATTTAAAATATATTTAATAATATTTTTATTTTCAGGCAATACAAAAGTATTAGGATAAAAATCATATAAAGAAGGATAAATAACAGATAAATGAGACAACAAAAAAGTTAATGCTTTTTTTTTAGTGTACATATATATAGATGGTATTCTATTTATAATTTTTTTCTTTTTCATATAATTATAGTGATCAAAATCATTAATATTATAACCTATCCAGAAAAAAATACCTTTATTTAAATTATCAGTACATTTTTTCCAATTTAATTTATTTATGCATGTATGTATTAACACTCTTTCATATCGAGCTAATTTAGTATTTATTGTTATAATTTTTTTTTTTTTCGAGTTATTCTTTATATTTAACTTAACTATATTATCTTTATTCCATGGAAGAATATCTTTATTTTCTTTTGTATCATCCGTCTTAATATATAAATTATCTACCTTTTCATTATTAGATAATAAACTATTTTGACAATTATCAGTACAATTAATTGTTGTGTAACTTTCTATACTATTTTTGATGTTATCAAAATTAATATTTCTAACATTAATTCCTACATTATTTTTATTATTATTAATAGAATTATTAGGTATGTTTTTCATTGGAGATGATTCTAAAAAATTATCCTTTTTAATGGTATTCTTTTCAGTAGGACTATTATTCTCTTTATTTTTTTCCATATTTCCATTAGAATTGACATTCATTTTGTTCCTACTTTTGTTATTAAATTCACTATTCATTTCATTTTTATTATTGTCAAAATTAGTTCCTTTTAAAAATGTTTCATTTTCTATGTTGAAATCATTATCATTGATAATTTTCGTTTTGTTTGAATTTGACATAATTAGCTTATTGTTAAATAGGTGTTTACAATTTTCATTTGATAGCACTGATTTACTACGTTTTTCCTTTATTTTATTTGAATTGTCTGCATTTATATTTTCATTACAATTTGAATATTTTATTTTGTCTTCTTTTCTATAATTTTCACTAGTTTTGTCGCTTTCTTTTATTGTGTATATTTTTTTTAAATCATTATTTTCATTTTTTCTTAAGTATAAAATATCATCTTCATTCATTTTATAATTTTTTAATTTACTTTTTTTGTTTTTCTGTTTCGATATTTTATTAATGTTATTTAAATGATATATGTAAGAATCAGTTAAAGCTCCGGTATGTGTTATCTCATATTCATCAGTAATGCTTCCATTTGAAGCAGATTTCCATCTATCTTTTTTATTATAAAATATATTATTTGAATTTAATTTGTTTTTGCAGTTAACTGTTGTATTATTTTTCTTTGTTAAAAACTTATTATTACAACTATTAATATCATTGCTCCTTTTATATATATTATTATTTTTCGAATTTTTCAAAAAGTAATTCGGATTAGATATAAGAATATGTTTTTGCTTATTATTTTCTTTAATTATTTTATAAGAACATTTTTTTATTCTATCCGTGACATTTATTTTTTTGTCATATATGTTACAATAATCATCTGATTTCTTTTTGTTAATAAAGTGAACATCACTATCTATTTTATTTTTTATTTCATTTCTTGATTCATTTATAATATGCTCATTATCTTTCAATAAAATTTTCGTATAATTTTTTTTTTTTTTTACCAACGTTTCACCCTTTTCAACGACTAAAATTTCACCATTTAAATTATTTTTCTCTAGTGTATCAATATATTTCTTCTTTTCATTGGATTCCTTAAAATTATTTTTTTTTTTTTCTATGAAGATATTTATGTCATTACTCACCACATCATTTAAATAAGTATTCATTTTCTTTCCACTTTTTTCATTTTCTCCTTTCAAATTATTGTTATTTTCTTCTTTTTCTTCTTCCTTTTGTTTCTTCTCTTGGTTTATAGTCTTATGAATATTTAAATGTTTTTCTAAATTTTGTTTGTAATGATCACATTTCTCTGTATATGAATTTTCCTTAGAATACTTTTCATCCTTTGTATTCCTTGAAATTTTTCTTTTCATAATTTTTAACAAATGATCTCCCTCTCTACCTTTATTAAATAAATTTCCCTTCACTTTTTTATCATAAGGGTTAATATCATTAATATTTTTAAAATCTTCGTTAAAACCTAGCGTTATGAAATTATTTTTACTACAATTCGCTAAATTAATATCTTTTATACTTTTTTTATAATAATTGTTGGAATTATTTATTATATTATCCCTTTTATATTCTTCATAATATAATGTATTGTGTGTCTGAATTACGTTATTGGTGTCTTTATTTATGCCTTTAGAAATTTTATTTAACATATCATCTTTTTCATTATTTTTGTCATTATCATAGGTATCTATTATAGATATTTTATCACTATGATAATTTTTTATATGATCCTTATAATTTTTATTACTCATTTTACTATTTATACCATGAGGTACAATTTTTTTGTCTGACTTATTTTCATACCATTCACTATTGTTAATAATGTAGTCACAAATATTAGAATCATTTTTTCCTTTTATATAATTATTATTTTGTGTGTTTATTTTATTAATTTCATTGAAATATACTTTATCAGTCTTATAATCACCAATATTATCATGATTACAATAATTTATAAATTCCTTTTCTTTTTTATCAAAATTATTTTCGCAATAATTATATTTATTATTTATATTATTCTTTTTACAGTAAATTGTATTATTATGTATATTAATATTATAATTGCAATTTTTATTTTTTGCATTGTTTAAAATATGTGATTCATCAATTTTACTAGTTTCATTACAACTTTGAATATTATACGTTTCTTTATTTAGTTTAGAATGGTTAATACTATAATAATAATTACTTTTATTTTTTAAATTATATACATTATTCGAATCTACATAGCAATTTTTGCTTAAGTTTTGAAAAAGATCTCCATTTTCTATATAACTTTGATTATGTCTAACATTTTCAATATTTTCTTTATTATTTATTATTTTGTAATTTTCTTCTTTTCCTTGCTCTTTATAAAAATACTTATTTTGATTTAGTAATTCATATTCTTTTCCTTTTTTTCTTTTATCTAATATAATCCCAGAACAAGGTTTTCTTTCATTCATTTTTTTATTATCATTATTCTCATATTCTCTTCCTGAACATTTTGAATTGATTTTTTTTTTTCTCTCTTCTTCATTTAATCTATATAATGATATATCATCATGTTTATTAATGCTTTCTCCTTTGTTTAATACTTTTAGGATATGATTGTTGCTACAATTTTTATATGTTTCTTTCATATTTATTTTATCACACAAATTGTTTAAATTTTGGATATCATACTTTTTAAAAGTGTTATAGGATCTTTTTTCATCACTATTTTTTTCACTATATGAAATTTTATCACAATGATTATTACATTTATTACATATATTATTATAATGATCACTATCCTTATAACTGTACTTAATATAATTATCTCTACTATTACTAAAGTGATGACTAGTATTACTACCATTAGTTGCACCATTTTTTATTGAATCAGTGAAGTATTTATTATTATGTGACAAACACATGTTACTGTAATTATTGATATATTTTGTTTGATTAATATTCATTAATTGTGATATATATGGCTCCGATTTAATATTATCTTTCAAATATGTATCAGGAGACTTGCATTTATTTGTATTAACTACGTAGTCATGGTTTTTTATCTGTTCTTGAACTAAATTTTTATCATTATCAATATTTAATGCATTTACATTTGTGATTTTTCCTTCGTTATTATTTTTACTAAAATAATTCATGGAATTATATTTTTTTCCTGAATTTTTTAAATTATCTAAATTGTGATCATTAAAAATTTTATTTGAATTCATTTTCATTACATAATTTTTATTTTCATTTTTTGAATATTCATCAGATTTTTTATTTAAAACATGCTCGTTTTGATACATATCTTTTATGAGTGTTACATTATTCATGAAATTATAGGGATGTTTTATTTTATTTGTAGTATCATTATTATTATTAAAATTGATATCTTTTTTATTATATATTGATTTATTCAAAGGGATTCCTATAATTTCATTTTCGTTCCTTTTATTTAAAGAACTATTTATATTCATTTCACTAACAGAATTCATTTCTTTATTTTTTTTACATATATTAGTTAACGATTTTTCCGTTTTCATTTTTTGCATAAACTTGTAATTGTTCAAATTTTCGTTTATGCTATTTAATCGAATAGAATGAGATTTTACATAAATATTCGAAATATTATTTTCTTTTTTACATTCATCATTGTTTCTATATAACATGTTATTTATTTTATTATAATATAATAAATTATCATTTCTAATTTGAGATTTTACATTATGCAATTTAGTAAAATAATCCTTTGAAATAATTTGTTTTTTTTTTAAAAAACTTTTTTCATTTTCATTAGTATTTCTCAATTTTACTTTTTGTATATTGCAATTACAATTATTATTCTTATATTTAATAGATACACTATATGAATTATTTAATTTATTGTTGTAATGATTGTTTTTCATTAATGCGTAATTCAAATTAGTTTTGTAAGTGGCTGCAATTGAATATTTATTAGGAGCATTAACAAAATTACTTACATCATTTATTATTAAGGTATTTTCATATTTTTTTAAATTTTTCATAGTTTCTTCATTGATGTCACTAATATTTTTATTTATACTAATTTTTAAATTATCACATTCCCTTGATACTTCATTGTTTTTTAAGGAATATGTTGGAACAATTTTTGATATATTTCTTTTTTTAGATTCATTGGTTTCATTATTATATTTACTATTTAAAAGATTATGAAAAGAATTCATATTTTCTTTCCAATAAAACCTATATTTTTATATTTATGTTATTTTTTTTTGCTTTTTTTTTTACTTTTAATTCATATATTTTTCTCTTTTTTTACACTATACACCTGTTAATTAAAATACCTTAGTAATATTCATAAAAGAAAAAGTCATATGTATATATGCACATATATGTATATACAAATTAAAAAAAAAAATTTTTTATTTTTATATTCCTTTACATTTTTCATTATATCTATAAAAATTATTAAACATAAAAATATATAAATATATATATATAATAATGTGTAAATTATTAAAAAATGTAATAATATCAATAGTTGTTAGCTTTGTTGTTTTGAAACATTTAGAATAATTAACATTATATTTTTAATAACACAACATTTACATAATTTTCATGAAAAAAATTTAATAAAAATATGCAAAAAAGTGCCTTTTTAATTAAAATATAGAAAAAAAAAAAAGTTCTCCCTAATTTTTCTATAAAGCATAATTAATTTATTACTAATAGAACATATAAAAATTAAATAAATAAGAATGTGAATCAACAAAATTATAAAAGAAGTTAAAAAAAAATATATATATATACATAGAAATATGTGCTTAAAACATTATTATGTAAAATAAATTTTTAGTAAATTAAACAAAAAAAAAAAAAAAAAATGACTACACTATTTCAGTAGTTCACATTTTCAAACAATATTAAATTATAGATATTTTTTAAATGTAATGTTGTATATATTTTTATACATAAAAATAAAAACATTTTTAATTATATATTATTCGTTATTCACTTACAATTATATATATATATATACATATATATATATATATTTGAATAGGAGAATAAAATAAAATTAAGCATACATGATTCAAAAATGTAATCATTATGTATGTTTTTATTATACATAATAATATACATAAATGAAAGGATAATATGAATATGTTAAGTAAAATAAAAATGATGAAAATAAAAATAGTAAAAACCGTATGTGTACATACAATAATTGTTTAATTTAAAACAAATGAGAGAAAATAAAAAATAAAACTAAATACTCCAATGTGTTCAAAAGGTAAAAAAAAAAAAAAATATTCCTTTTCATTAGATGTAGAAAAATAAGGTCCAAGTTAAATAACATAATATAATAAAAACCTATAAACATAAAAACATAAAAAAAAACAAAAAAATGATTTTATATTGTTAGATTTGTTGTACAATAAAGTACATAAGATACTCAAAATTTATATAAAAAAATGTTAACATATATATATATATATATCACACTACAAAACAGTTAAAAGCAAAAATATAAAAAATTCATACAACTTAGAAAAAATTAAGTAGTTTCAAAAAAAATATAAAAAATATGATATAAAAATATTATAGAACTCTTAAAAAAAAAACCTGCATTTTAGTGCAAAAAAAAAAAAAAAAAAAAAAAGGAAAAGTTACTTTTTGCAAATTAATCTTTTTTTATTTCAACTCATACAATATATTGAATGTATTTTTTTTTTTTTTTTTTTGTTTTATGTAATAAATAGAGAAAATAATTTAAATTTTCATTAAATAGTACCATTTTTTTGTAATTTACTTTTGTATACTCATATGTTTATAGTGCAAAAAAAATATATACACTAACAGTTTTTTTTTTTTTTATAATGTAATAAAGGTTCTCTATATATTTAAAAAGATATAGACAATCACTTTTATTTATTTTTCTTACATTTTACTAGAAGAAAAAAAGAACACGAAAAAAATGATTATTAAAAATTTATGAAACTAAAGTTTTAAAATATTTATCATCCTTAAACGTCATTTTTTTTAATAATTTTATTTATTTTAAATTTTTATATTAAATCTTTTCATTAATACAATAAGCCATATAATAAAATATGAATTAATGTATTTACAATAAATATATTTTTGAATATATTTTTTTTTAAATTATTTTTAGCTTTAAAGAGAAAAAACACTTTCTATATATTCTCCACGATGGATTTATTTTATTTTATATTTTTTTCTTTTTTTACCGTTTTTTAAAATTTAAGTTATAGTATATTTATTTAAAAAAAAATAAATATATTATTAATTATATGTAATTCACTTTTTATATTAAGCAAGGTCTAATGTATTATGGCATATTATAAAAAGTTAATTTTACAAATATTTTCTTTAAATATATTTAATTTCATTTATTCAGTTAACACTCTTATTAGTGAAATTTTTAGTTTAATACAAATAGAAACAATATATTTTTCTTTAAGTTTGATTTATTTTTATTAAATGAAAAATATACATATTATTTTTCATTCATTTAAGAAATTTAATGAATAAAAATAAGCTTTTTAGTACGTAAAATTAAAAAAAAATTATATAAAAAAAATGTACATATAAATATTCATTTTTCTTATAATCAATTCTTAATGTAGATATATATAACCTTAAGAATTAACATTCCAAAGCAAAAATAATAAAAAGTAACTTAAATATATATAAATGAAAAAAAATATGTATAAATATAAAACATAAGTATTCTACAAAACTTAATTTTTTCTCTTTTTAAGTATTTATATAATAGTTATTTAAACAAAATATTATGTGTTTTACATTGATTATATTTAAATAGGCAATAAAGTTTATAAAATATATTACTATATAATAAATAAATTATCACAGAATAAAAATATTAATGATTAAATATTAAAAAAAAGATATGTATACATTTTATAAAAATATCAATTAAATTTTATACATATAATTATTTTAGAATGAAGGAAGAAATAATTAATTCTTTAAAGACATTGATGAAAAATGAATTGAAAAATCATCTTAATAATTACATTAATAAGAAAGAAATTTCTTATCATATTTCAAATCTTATTAAAAGCCATATAAAAAGTAAAAAAAAAAAAAATTTAACAATTGTATATATACAATAATAATATAACATAGTATTGTTTAATGCATAAATAATAAGAACTATGAATATATTAATAATATAGGTTTAACTTCAAACAATTATAAAATTATCGTTGAAATTCTATTAAATGAAAATAACGAACAAGGAATAAAGTATACACAAAAAATTAATTTAATCTTAATTTATTTCATATATAAATATAAGTATATATAATTTATAATTATAGTAGAACTAAAAAATATATATATATATATATATATTATACTCATTCATTTTTTAAAAATAGTTAAATGTGGAGTTAATTTTCTTTTATTTTATTTTCTCATTTGAATTACTTTATAGCATTTCTACTAGATTATTTTACAACAAACAATCTGATTTTTTTTTTAAAGAAAGAATCATTAATGTAATAATTTTTTAAAGAAATAAATGAATTTTATTTAAAAATTTATCTTAATATAAACATTAAATATATATATATATATATTGAAATTATAAAGTTATATAATTACAAAAAAAAAAAAAAAAAAAAATATACATGTATATATAATAAAAAAATAAGAAACACATATTTATAAACAAAAATAAAAAAGATATATATAAACCTATATTATAATAAAAGAAAACACATGTATATTAAAATAAAAAATATAAGCCCATATATTAGAAAAATTAAAAAAGCATTATATTTAATATTTTGTAAATAATTATATATATATAAAGTTTTTGGCACATAAAATTTTTCTTAATAAGCATACAACAAAAACTTATTGTTCTTAAAATAATATATTAAAAAAACATAAAATATTTAAAATTATATATTGATTTTTTTTTAAACAATTATTTACATTATATATGTGTGTATGTTTTTATTTATAATTTATAGGACACTTGTCATTGTTTTATAGTGGTTTATTTAATTCATGTATAATGCATTTTAAAGATAATATATATTTAAAGGTATCTTTAATTTTTATATCCATAAAGATAAAAGCCAAAGACATTAGGAATTTTTAAAAATATAAAATTTATATTTTATAAATTGTTAACCCACAAAGCTATTAAACGCTTTATACATATATAAATATGAAAACGGTGCACTAAAACTGACAAAAAGTTGGCATTTTTTGTAATACCTATATGTAGCTCACAATTTCTTATTTTTATTTTATAATATTTTAATTTTTTTTCAACTACATTAAATCAATATTAAAAAACCATATAAATAAATCCCTTGTTCTTAAACTTTATATAAGCATATATATTAAATATTTTTGAAATGAGGGTAATTACTATTTATTAAACTTCTTTAACATTTAAAAAAAAATAAAATAAAAATCTACTCATTTTATTTCATTTTTTCTATAATTTAAACTTTCTTCTTCATAATTCAAACTTTTTCTATTTTCAATAAATTTTAAGGATTCCCTTAAAATAATTAAATACCCACATAAATCTCGCGCCTACCTTCTGATATTATATATTGCAAAAAATACCAAAGGTACAAAAAGAAACCATTAAATATTAAAAAAAAAAGGTAAAAATACCAAAAAAAAAAAAAAAAAAAGAAACACTTCATTAATATTTAGGTTTTCTTAATATAGAAAATTTTAAAAAAACAAATCTCTATTTAAGTATTTTTAAAATTAAAGCACAGTAAATTTTCACCTTTATATTTAAAAGTTTCCTTTTAAAAAAAACGGAAAAGAACATATTATTCTTAGATACTATAAAAAAAAGGCACAATAAATTTTACTGTATTTTATTTTCTCCTTTTAAAAGTTTTCTATATTTAAAATGAAAAAGAATTCTTTATTCTCTCTCAGATACCAAAATCAATGCAGGTATAATGAATTTTTATTAATTTTCATTTTCTTCTTTTAAAAATTTTTTATAAAAGAAAAATATTACATTATTCTACTTTGAATAACTGAAAATGTTAATGATAAAATAAATTTTCATTATGTTTTTCTTTTTTCCTTTAAGAACATCCTTTATATATAATGAAAAAGGATACTTTGTTCTAATTATATACCATATAAAATGAATCAATAATATTTATTTATTTTTTTTTTTTTTAAAATATCCAAAAAAATACAAAAATACTATACAATTTTGCAACATTATAAAAAAAAATATATAGTATTAATTGCACTATTTGAACATACAAAGTAGTAATTATTCATTGTATTATTATTTAATACAATAAAAAAGAAATGTGAATACAAAAAATTAAAATTACCAATTTATTCATACAAAATCTTAAGTGTATCTATCAATTGGTTATTTTAATAAATTAATGTTATTTAAAAGATTATGCTTCACGCATGCTTATTGATGTTTATTAATATTTTATTTAAAAAAAATATTTAAAATTGTACTTTTATATAAATTCTGTAGTCTATAAATGAGATTTTTGAACATGCAAAATAAAATAAAACATAAATAAATATAAAAAATATGCACAAAAAGTATGCACAAAAAGATGCACAACAAAAAAGCCAATAATATATGCATAAAAAGAAAAAGTTAAAATAAAATAATTTATATTTTTTATATTAATAGCAGTATATCATGTAGGTGAAATAATAAGAAAAATAGAATGAAAAAAAAAGATGTGGATTTTTTTGCATGTAGTATAAATCATTGTTGACAAAAAAGAAAGCAAAAATAAAAAGGAAAATATAATGATCACAAAATAATAACAAAAAAATATATGTATTAAAAAAGATATAAATAAAAAAAAATATATTTTACATTTCTTTAATTCTTTTCCCTATTTTTTTGATCTATTTTTCTTCATTCTCTATTGTAAATATTTAAGTGGATTTATTTTTACATGCGTAGAATAAAATAAATCTTTTTTTAACATAGCTATATACTAGATTAAACCTAAATACATTTAGCAAAATCTTAGTGCACCTAGATATTATTTTTTTTTTATAATTTTTTTTTCATATATAAATATATTTTTTATGAATAGGAAATAAAAAATAAAATAAATTGACAATTATTCAAGTACAAAACAAAGATTTATATAAAAATAAAAAAGAGATATGTTTTTAAATTATGTATGAAAATACGTATGTGAATAATTAAAGATATTGTAATTTCAACACAATAATGCAAAATATGTTATTATATTATATATATTTAAAACATACCCTTTTTTTTTTTTATTATAAGAAAAAAAATATATGAATGATATGAAATTAAAACAAATATTTATTTTATTTTTTTCCTTTTTTTCGTTTGTTTTATGGAATTATTAATTTTTAATTTAATTTATTATTTATTGTGTTTTATATTCAGCTTTTTTCTTTATTTTTTTTTAGCTTTTTTTTTTTTTTTAGTTTTTTTTTTCTTTTTAATTTATTATATATGATTACATGATATCAAGTAAATTAATAGAAAGATTATGTGCATTCAAATTAATGATTATATTATCAAAATTGATATAATTAAAAAAAAAATTAACAAAAATAATAAAAGTTGTTAAGATATTAATCTCATCCGAATATACATATATATTCATATTACCAACTGTATTCTACAAAAAAATTGCAACAAAAATGTAAGATATTTTTAAGTAAATTTGTTTATTATTATAATTTTTTTTTTTTTTTTTTTTTTTTTTAACTATTTATTTAGTTTTTATTTTTTTAAAAATATGAAAAATTTTCAGATGTCCAATTATTAATAATTAAAAAAAAAAAAAAAAAATAAATAAATAAATAATAGTTCTATAACAGCAAATGATTTCCTATCTATCGAAATGATAAACAAAAATGAGCAAGTTTTCTTTTATATGTATAACAGAAAAATAAAATATAGTAAAGTAAAATAATTTAAAAAAATGACGAAATATATATATTAAGACAACATTAAATTAAAATGAACAACATATTTATAATACATGCACATGTATGTATATATATATATTTATACATATTCATTAAGAAAATAATGAAAAGGTTTTAAAAAAAAAAAAAAAAAAAAAAAAAAAAAAAAAAAAAAAAAATTTATGTATATTATTGAAATTAGCATGAGTTCATTAAATTAATGTATGAGAGTAAATACAATAAAATAATATTAGAAAAGGAAAAATAAATACGTTTAAAATTAGTGTAAAATTGTTAAATACATTGATTTTCATAAATACATATATATATATATATATATATATATATATATATATATACAAGTATATGTATTGATATTTTAAATATCTCTACATGAATAAATTTACAACAAAAAAAAAAAAAAAAAATGGCTCAAATCGTTTAGTGCATTAAAATTATTTTATAACTTTTTGTATCATTTTTAAGAGATATATATTAAAAAAATAAAATAAAATAGCGTTTCTATGTATAACACAGAATTATTGCATATTATTACATACAATTTTTTATGTTTATTGTTTCTTTTATTTCTTTAATAACTATTATTTTTTCTCCCTATTTTTTTTTTTTTTTTTTTTTTTTTCTGTTAAGTATTTATTCTAAAAATATTTTAAATTGAATTATTATTTTTTTTCTGAATATATTTTTAGTTGGATATATTTTTATATTTTACAGATTTATATATGTTATAAAATTTTTTCAAATTGCCTTTTTTTTCTTTTCTTCTTTTTTAAAAAAAAAATGAGAAAAGGAAAACCAAGACATGTGCCAATGTTTTTAAGAAGTGAAAATAAAAAAATATTTTTTACATTTTTTTCATATTTTATGCCAAAAAATGATTTAAACTTTATATTTGAGTATTATGATATTGGATTAATTGTGCTTACAAAAATACACAACATAAGAAAAAAATATGAAGATGAAAAAAACAATTTACAAAATCAAGATAATAAATCAGATATAGATGATATAGAATCATTTGATGAAAAGGTTAGAACATTTTTTTTAAATTATAAAATAAAATCTAATAAAGAAGAAACAATTGATAATAAAAAATTAAAAAATGAAAAGCACAAAAAAAGTAAAAGAAATGTTTTAAATAATGAAAATAATCAAGAACATTTAAATAAAAAGGTAGGACTTAAAACTAATAATGGTTTGGGAGCTCAACAAGCAAATAAAGAAACAAATAATTTTTCAAATGAAAATAAAGAATTGTTTAAAATTAATGGAAGTGAAATAATAAATGCTAATTTAAAAAAAAAAAATAAAAAAGTTAAAGCACAAGAAAGCATCAATAATAGTGAATCATATTTAAAAAGTGTAAAACTAGAAATAGACAAATGTAGTGAGACTAATCAATCACTTTCAAAAAATGAATGTGATAATATGAATATTAGTAACTTAAATAATAATAATGCAAATTCGATAACAAAAGCAAACGATTTAAACGAAATAGAGCATGATAATATGGTGGTAAAAACCAACAAAGAACAAAATAAAGAAAAAAAAGAAAAAAGTAATGAAATTGAAAAAAGAATAAAAAAAGAAGAAAATATTGAAAATAAAGAAAAAATTGAAATAAAAAAAGAAATAAATGAAAATGAAGAGATGTACGAGAATGAAGAAGAAATAGGCGAAGATGAAACGAATGAAGATAATGAAAAACATAAACAAATGATGATGAGAGAACTTAAAAAAGTAAAAAAGGATTTAAATTTAATGGAGAATACTGAAGAAATAGAAAAAAAAAAGGTAAATGATGATACGAAAATAGAAAAAGAATCAGATATCATTAGCTTTCCTTTAAAAAAAAAAAACGAAACATACAAAAAATTTAGTAAAAGAATTAATAGAAAAAAAATAAATGAGTTTGTTGATGATCATGATGATTATTGTTTTTATATAACAGATCTATGTAAGAAAGGAACCATGCTTTCTTTGAAAAAAAATGAATTAATAAATGATAAGAATGAAAAGTATAAATTAAATTCTTCTAAATTTATGGATATCTCAGAAAATAATAAAAATTGCTCATTTAATGAATCACATTCATTAAACAATAATTTTATAAATACTAAATTAAATGAACATTTTAAAGAAAATAAAATTAGTGAATTAAAAAATTTACAAAAATGTAAAGAAAGTTTTCCGCAAAATTCAACATCAATTAATGAAAATATAATATTACAGAATGCTTACCAGATGGTTAACAATAATAACGGCTATAATTTAAGTAATATAGAAAATTTACAACATAAGGATAATTTTACAACAGATAAAAATTTGCAGAACTCTATATATTACCTTAATGGACAAAATGCATATCTAAGAAACTCACTTGATGAAAATAACATTAACTATTTCAATTTAAACATTAAAAACAAAAACAATGTTGAAAATAAAACTGAAATAACAGATGAAGAACAGTATTTTAAATTTCTAGGTAACAATGAAAATATTATGAATGATAAAAAAAAATCTTATATAAAATATGAAAAAACTAAAAAAATTTCCCAAAATAAAAGCAGAAAAAAAAATTATAGTGAAAATAATAAAAAATTAACTTATTTAAATGATCAATCAAGCTATGATTTTGCAAATAATAAAACAATTCAAATGAAGAATCAGCAGTTATATCCCGATAGTAATTATGATCATTATAACATTAATAATCAAAACGGTTATAACAATTTTTATTCAAATAACATAAATGAAATAAAAAATGATATTAATGAACAAAATAATTATACTAACAATAATAATGGAAATAATAAAGGTAATACGAAAAATGAGAATATTAATAATCAGATTTTTCATTCGAATGATATAAATAATTATGGAAGCAATTTTAATGTAAACACATATCAAAATAGTACAAATAATATAAATTACAATATGAAGAATTTGAGTACTAATTCAATTGATAATAGTTCAAATATAAATACTTCAAATAGTGATTCAAAAAATATTGGTAATAATAATTATTATACTCACAATCAGATTAGTAATAATTTCGTTAATATAAGCAGAAATAATGAAAATAATTTTGCTAACTACAACATAAATATTAACTATTTAAAAAATGATGCTGATGGAACTAATTATACACAAAATGGTTATGATGAAAACGATAACATTGATGATGATGATAATAATAATAATGATAATGATAATAATTACGTAAAAATGAATATGAAAAATGATATATATATAAACGACAATATTAACAATAGTATTTATTTTAATAATAATGAGGAGATAAATAACTATACGAAAAGTTATATAAGAAATAGTTGTACTAATGAGAATGTATTTAATAATTATTCCAACATTTTGACTGATAATGTGAATGATTCTTCTAATAGTGCAAATATTACTACATATATCGAAAATTGTAACAACAGTAACATTTATGATATAAAAAACAATGATAAAAATGAGTATAATGGGAAACATACATCTAGTTACATTAATAAAATGAGAAATACGCAATATAATAGTAATAATAATATGATACAAAATGAAATTTTTAATAAAATAAATGAAAATAATACTAAAGATCAAAATATGCTTTCAATGAATAAAAATAATTCTCAAAGTAGTCAGGAAGAACAATTGAATCACTTTCTTGTTCCTTTAACAAATGTTCAAAGTAATAAAAAAAATACATATAAGAACAGCATATATACACAAAATGATAATATAAGAGAGCACAATTTTTCATTCAATTTCTTTAATGATAATACTAATTTTAATAATAGTAATTTTATGAATTTAAAAAAGATTAAAGAGGAAATAGAAGGATCTACAAGAAATTCAAAAAATTCAAGCATTTATGAAACAAAAAGTAAAATGGATATTCCAAATAATAAATCAAATATGCAAAATGTATATAATAATTATTCTAAAATGATTGAAAATAATTATGGTGCTTCAAACCTAGTTAGCAATCAAATAATAAATAATGATTTAAATTTAAAATATTTAAATAATAATTCGTTAGATGAAAGAGAAGAAAAAAAAAAAGAAAATTTGGAAAAAAAGACAAATTTAAAGGAGGAAAAAGATGATTATGAGGAAAACACAAAAACACACAGTATAATAGTTAATAATGAAAATATTAAAGAATATAATTACTTGATTAATGCTATTAAAAATGAAAATCCAAACTTATATAATATAAGTAGAAGTAATATAAATAATGGAGAAATCGAATTAAACAATGATTCAATTAAAACACAAAATCAAAATGAAGATTCTCAATTTTTAGATGAAAAAAAAAAATATATTATAAAAAATAGCAATAACATTGCATATTCTATTTCAAAAAATATACCTGGGAAGAAAATTGGAAATCAAATTACTAATCAGTATAATTATGTAGAAACTGATTTAGAAAAAAAAAGAAAAAAATTAATTCAGGATGATTACGATAAAAATATTTCTTATCATCAATTAAAAGAAAAATTTTTATATAACGAAAAAAATTCTTTAAAAAAAATACAAGCGGAAAACAAAAGTTCAGTTCATCATTATATTGATTCAAAAAATAACTTAATGGATGAAAATAACAAAATTGTTGATCAATTTTTATTGAATAACTATGATACGAAAAATGTACAAATGAATGACTCTTCCTTGTTATTACGAAATGTAGGAAATAATAAATATATAATACCAAGTAATATTGAAAATGATCAGGTAGACAATAATATTAATAATGTAAACTGCTTGAAAGATGAAAATGTTATCTATAACAATGAAGATTATTATAAAATTAAGAATATTAATAAAAATTTAGCTCAAAATAGTAAATCTTACATTATGGCAAAACATGGATGCTATAAGAATACTCAAAATAATTTAATTGAAATAAAGCCGAATTTTAACAACCTTAAATACAATGATAAATATAATTATGAAATTACAGTTAAAAATATGGATAATAGTAATACTGATATGACAAAAAATATTAATATTGACATTATAAGAAATGAAAATAGTAATTGTAGAAATAATATAATAGATTCAAAAGTAAGTGTAAATGAAGAAATAAATACTGCAAATGATTTTTTAAATAATGATAATTCTAATTTTAATAATTACATGATTAATGATGAAATAAACACTTTAGAATATGCAAAATTTTACACAGATGACAATGCTGAAACAAAATCCTTCTCAGAAATAAACGATAAAAATTCTGCAAAAAATATTTTATATATAAAAAATAAAGAAGATTTTGAAATGAATGATTTGGGGTTAGTAACAGATATAGAAAATTATAATTATAAAAATAAATCTAATAGTTATATTAAAGAAATGAAAGCTAATAGTTGTAATCTGAAAGTATTACAAGATTTAGACAATTATATTATTAATGAAAATAAAAATTATAATCAAGAATTTATTGATAATTTCAGTTGTAATGGAAAATTAGAAAAACTAAACTTAAATAATGATGATTCAAAAAATATGTATGATACCTTTTATAAAAAGAATTATTCCAAAAATGATAATTATAATAACGAAAACATCATATATGCTAATAACTTAAATAAAAATTTTAAAAATAATTCTAAAAATTCCTTTGTATTTTATGATTCCTCAAGTAAATATGCAGAAGAAAAAAATATAAATGATGAAAATAATAAACATCCTAATAATAATACATCATTATATGAAAATATGAATAATAATGATAATTTTAACCAAGAAATGTTTGATAATAAAGATAGAATAATGACACAATCTTCAAAATCTTTAAATTTTCCTACATCTAATATTTATTGTGACAATAATAAAACAACTGAATTAAATGAAAAGGGTCATATGGATTCTCAAAACTTTTTAAATAATAATTACAATAAAATAAGTGAAAATTTTCTCAAAAAAAATATAGAGTCAAGTAATAATATATATAATATTCACAACACTACTCATAATAATTATTCAAATGAATGTTTTTTTAATAGAGAAGATGGAAGCAATGAAGTAGGTAACTTGATGACAGATCAGTCACATTATTATTTAAATGATTTAAATAACAAAAAAATTATGAATAATTTAAATACTAACAGTGTCAATGAAATGTTAAAATTTAATAACAGTAATAATATTAACAGTGTTAATAATACTAATGATATTAGAAATATTCATAATAACATTTGCCAAAATAATTATAATGTTGAACAGAATCATTCTAATATTAATGGAAATTCAGTTTATAACTTTGATAATAATTATAACATAAATAACATTGATCAACATAGTAATATTAATACTGTTCACAGTAATAACGTCAGTAATTGTAATACCTATAATAATTATAATAATGTAGATATTAATAACAATTTAGATATAATAAAGATAAAAGATACAAATAATAATAAAAATAATGGAGCAAATAATTTTTCTAATCTAAATAATTTAAGACATGTATATTCAAACAAAGTTAATAGCACAGATTCTCAGTTAAATCCAATTAATGATCATAATGTAAATGATAATTTCAGTGAAACCAAAATTAATGTAATGGATAAATGTAAAAATATGAACGATAGTAGTATGCCTTATAGTATAGAAAATATTAATTATTTAATGAATAAAATAGATAATTCTAATTCATTTTATGATAATTATAAACTTATGAATACTATTAATTGTAATGAAAAAATATCTAGTGATGAAAATATTTATAAAGATAGTAATTTTAATTTAAAAAAATTGAAAAATTTTTCGGCAAATAATACATCAAATTTTAAAAATCCGTATTTATATATGAACAAAAATACAAATGCTGAAGAAGTTGATACAATTACTTATGAAAATATAAATGAAATAAACAACAATGTTGATCATATAAAAAATGATTCTAGTAGTACTTGTTGTGATAATAATAATAATAATAGTAATAATGAGTTAATAAAAAATGAAATAGTTTTAAACGGATTATATGATAATATCAATTTTGATAGTTACAAAAATAATACTTCATTAATATTAGATTTAAATAAAAATAAACAGAGGAATAATTTTTATGAATCTTACCCTACTGACCACAAAGATAAGCAGAAGAATAACAGTGATAACTTAAATAATTCAACGAATCTCATAAATTGCAAAACGGAGCATTTTAATAGCAAAAATTCCTTCAACTTATTAAGTAATAATATAACTAACTTAAATGATTTTAAAAATATCAATGATTTAAATAATATAAATTGTTTAAATGATTTTAAAGATACAGATACTATAAATAAATTAATTGGTTGTAATGACAAGAATAATACAAATATTATTAATAATTTTAAAAATATAAATGAGTTAAATAGAGTCATAGGAGTAAAGAATATGAATGATTCAAAAACAGACAACATAAATCTCATTTTCAGAAATATAGATAAAATTAATAATGTAAGTAATTCTGATAATTTAAAAAGTTTTTCAAACAATAACATGAATAACATAAATGATAATATTAACAAAAATTTAATTCTTGATAATTCATATACGAATACATTAGGAAATAATGGAAATATTTTTAATAAAGAACATTTAGAATTTGATCCTAATAATATTAATTTTTTAAAAAATTATAATTTTAACAGTTACATGTCTTTACTTCAACTAAATAAAATAAATGATTATTATAACTCAATAAATAATAAAAATTTAGTAAATAATCCTAATTTTAATTTAAATGTTCCTTTACATTTAGAATATAATAACATGAATGTTTTTGCTAATCAAAAAAAAATAGAATTTGATAAACAATCAAATAAATCATATATTAATGAAATGAATTCTAATTGTGAAAAAAACACTAATACTATAAATAATTATTATGCTTCTTCTATATCTAATATTCATAAAAATAACAAAGAAGGAAATGTAAATATTTCAAAAAGTAATATTAGTGACGATTATGTAAATAATTTTAAACATCCATACGTTTTTAATAATGGTATTTTAAATATAGATTCAAAAAAAAATATAAATAATGACATTAATAAAAATTTTGTAAATTATGAAAATCAAATAAAATATATAAATAATTCTAAGGGAAATATAGTTAATTATGATAATTATAATATAAATGAACAAAATAAAAATGCAAACTCTATTTTTTCTTTAGATTCATTAAAATATAACTTAATGAATAACAATTCTAATTATGTAAATTTATTAAATAACATATGCAATGTGTATGATGATAATTCTAATATTCAAGATTCATGTACAAATAACAAATTAATGTTAAATAATAAAAATGAAAAGAGAAATCAAAATATTAATGAATTATATGATTTAAAAAGTATAAATCCTAATGAAAATAGAATTAGAAATTCTATTATTCCTGTCAATTTTCCTGTAAAAAATTATTATAATTTTCAATTATTGTTAAATGTTTTAAAAGGAAAACAGTTATATAATTCATTTAATCCAGATACAGGAAAAATGCAAAATAATAATGATATGAATTTAAAAAATAATAAAAAGAATTATTCTATTTCTTCAGTAGGATTTAGTAATAGAAGCAAAAGGTTATTTTAAATAGAAAAATCGCTTATATTTATATATAAATATAAATTAATATAACAGTATTTACTTGATATTTTTTTTTTTTTTTTTTTGTAGATGGACTATTTGCCCCTCATATATTTGCTGCAATAGCGCATTGTGCAGATTTAAATTAACATGTAATTTTAAATTTTTACAATTCAACCAAGCTTATAACACTTTTAATATTCCATATGCTATTTATAATTGCTATAAAAATATTATGAATAATTACCATTATTTCACATCAACATTATGCCCACAACAGACTTATTTGTCAAAACATTCAGCACAAGTAAGTTTTTTTTTTTTTTTTTTTTTTTTTTTTTTTTTTTTTTTTTTTTTTTG